TAAATGCTTTAAGTCATGTCCTTCTACACCAATAATCGTCTGTAATTGAGAAATTTCCCCTAATAATTTCTGAAGAGCATTAAGAGTTTGATAACGATCTCTCCTAGTTTGTGTTTTTCAGGTCTGATTCTTTGTAAGTCTATTTTGTAACCTAAATAGTTAATAGAATCTCCTCTTTGTATGTTTTCTGGGACAATCGGTAACCCCCAACGAGGCAGAACTTCCTTCACCATTTCAAACATACATTCCAAAGTTTCTTTATTGGAATCTGATAAAAGAATGTCCTCCATGTAATGATAAACAAGAGATTGTGAAAATTTCTTATGAATTATTTCCAAAGGTTTCTGTACAAAGTGCTGATACAAAGTAGAACTATTTAGCATTCCTTGTGGCAAAACTCTCCACTGATATCTCCTAACTGGCTGTGAATTATTAAGAGTTGGTAGAGTAAATGCAAATTTTTCTCTATCATTTTCCTGTAACGGTATTGTGAAAAAATAGTCTTTTAGATCAATGACTATGATAGGCCATCCTCTAGGTATTAAGGAAGGTAATGGCATTCCAGGTTGCAGAGAGCCCATTGGTTGAATTACCTTATTTATGGCTCTCAGGTCTGTCAGCATTCTCCATTTACCTGACTTCTTTTTGATAACAAAAACAGGAGAATTCCAAGGACTGGTAGATTCCGCTATATGTCCAGCATCTAGCTGTTCTTGTACTAACTTTTCTAAAAGTTATGTAAGGCAGTGGCCTTCCATATGAGGCTTCTCAGAGGTCATAGGCCATTGTCCTACCCAAACAGGTTCATCTTAAGCCACTTCAATGGCAGGGCCTTTGGCTCCTCTGAAGGTCCATCATTTGTACCTAGTTTCTCTACAGCATGGATGGTTGGTAACCATTTTCCATAACGTCTTACCAGATCTTTTCTACTATCTAAAGATTGTACATAATTTGTATCTGACATTGGAGAAATATTAATCTGAGTATTCCATTGCTGTAAGAGATCACAACCTCAGAGATTTATAGCTATATCTGCCACGTATGGTTTCAGTATCCCTTTCTGTCATTCCGGTCCAATGCAGACCACCGAGTTAACAGTCTGTCAACTCTAGATAGAGTCCCAATTCCTAAAAATTGTACATTTGCCTCTCTAAGAGGTCATTTCTGAGGCCAAGACTTTGGGGTAATAATAGTTACATCCCCCCCCAGTGTCTACTAAGCCAGAAATAACTTTATTATTAATTTTCACTTTCAATTGAGGCCATTTATCATGAATAGAAGCTTGTCAAAATATGCGTTTTTCATTTTGTCCATTCACACTTGATTCTTCATCACTATTCAAACTACCATCTAGAGCAGTATTATTTTTCAAAATAGGCAAAGAACTATTTGTCCTGTGAGAGATTGTCTCCCACTGCTACTTGGAATGACCCAACCTTTTTCGAAGTGGGAGTCCCCCTTCGGGGTTTCCTGGCCTTAACGGGTTTTCTTACATGTCCCTGGTCGATCTACATTCATTGGTCCAGTGTCTGCCCTTACCACATCTATACAATCCAGAAGGCAGTGGCCTTCCATATGAGGCATTGTAAGAATTCGTTTGTCAACAATTTCTCTTAGTATGTCCCATTTGCCACTGTTGAAACATCTAGGTTCCTGGCGTCTTCGTGGTCTCCAGGGGAAGGCTCTTCCTACTCAAGGTTCTGGTTCATAGTAGTAGTAACCTCTAGCCTCTTGGTACCTATGTTGACCTCTGTAAGGTGCTTTTCCTTCAC